TTCCTTGAATATTATCAAAGCGATAAACCACTTATTCCCTTTTTTGCTGAAGATATCTTAAAACTTGTAAATGATTGCCTTCACTTTAAAATTAAATTTATAAAGATTTTCTGCTTTAGTTATTTTTGAATATTCTAGTTTCAAAATTTTAATGATCCAAATTGTTATAATGATAAAAGTAAAGTTTATTTGGGATTCATTGCTGAGCAGTTAATGAATGATAAATGCCGCAAGAAGGACATTTCACAAGCTGAAAGTTTTGCATTGAAACAAGAAGGTCAACAATGTGTCTTAACAATAGTACAACACTTAATGTCTAAATGTCCAATAAATTTTTCTCTTATTCGAAATGCATCTTGTATAGACCCGCGATTGATGGTTAAAAGTCCAGAAAAAGCCCAGAACAAAATGAAAATAGTTCTAACGGTATTAATGCAGAATAAACGTGTTTTACAAGATGATTGGGATGAAATTCTGCTGCAGTTTGGAGAGTTTCTAGACAAAGTAGTTAAGACAAATTTACATGAATTTTCTACTTTTGATCCTCAAAATCTTTCTCTTGACACATTTCTCACTTCTTATTTTCATGATTTTCACTATTCAAAAGTATTGAAAATAGTGAAAATGATTCTTATCTTGTCACATGGACAGGCCTCTGTGGAAAGGGGCTTCTCTGTAAATAATGCAATTGAAATTGAAAATTTAAGTGACTCATCATACATTTTTCAACGCACAGTATTTGATTACATAAAATTTTCTGGAGGTGTTCTTAATATCGAAATTAATAAAGAAATGAGATCAGCAGCAGCTTCTGCAAGGTCTAAATATATGCAGTATTTAGAAGAACAAAAATCTTTAACTAAATCTGAAAATTCAAAGAGGAAACGAAATATCATTGAGGAAGAAATTGATTATATGAAGCAGAAGAAAAAATTTCTTCAAAGGGACATTAGAGATATTAATGAAGAAGTAGATGCTGAAGAAGTAGAAGCAGATGAAGCTGAGACCAGCATGAACATTGATTTGTTTATCAAAGCAAATGAACTTAGAAGAATAGTTAAAGAAAAGGAAATAGACATAAATAAATTAGATGTTAAAATAGCTGAAAAGATTTCAGATTTAAAAAAAGCACAAATGTTTCGTATCTTTTATTGTACAGTTTATTATTCTAGTATCTTTCAAAAAACCAAGGAAATAAATTGTATGTTTACAAATCAGTTATTTTAATCTGCAAAATATTCTTACATTGTGATTATAATAGTAGTTGACTGTGTTTAAATAAATATCAAATAAGTTAAATAATAATCATGTAAATCTCTAAAATAGTGACTGTTATTAGTGTAAAATACACTTATACATGTTTTTAAAGAAATTATGTTCCTAATTTAATGTTATCTACTTCATAACTTGTAGGGAGTTAGTTTAATTTTCAAAATTGTTTTATGGTAAGTATTAAAGTGAATTTAATAATAGTGCATAATACACACTTCTGTTAGTTTCTTAAAGTGAAATTACAAGCATGAAGTCGGTTGTATGGATAAGTGCTTTATTCTATTCGTTTTTTTTTTTTTTTTTTTTTTTTTTTTTTTTTTTTTTCTGTTGTTGTTGTTTGCTGATAGGTCCTTAATTTTTTCTTTGATGATCCTTAAAAGTTCTTAATTTTCATGTAAGGAAATGTGTACGAACCCTGTATGTCTAGTTTAAGAGATACAAGTTAGAAAGTGCCTAAGAAATGGAAAATAGAGTAATGGCAATAAAAGATCATTAGTTTCAATTAATGATCAAGAGTGTAAGACAAGATTCACATCAAGAGTATAAGATAAAATTCAAAACAGTTGTTAAATTAATTATATCTGGCACTGGCTTAATGGTTATTCTTTATTTAATATGATGAATGCTGGCAACCAGTTCCTCCTTAAACGGTGTGTTATTAGAAAAGCCTAAATGTCTGTCAGGCATTTATATGTATATTCCTTTTGCCTAGTTACACATTGTAAGCAGATGCAGTAAGGACATATGGTTGAAGCTAAGAGAGGATGACATTTAATATCTACTTTCTTTTCTAATTATGCATTTATTTTCAATGCAGTAGTTATTATTTCTTTGCAGTAAATGAAAGAAAAGTAGACTCATTTGACAGTAAAGCAAATATGTAATGTAACATGTGTCAGTATTTGTGCAAAGTATTTCCTTTGCATACTTTTAAGAAATCAGTTGCCTTTTGTTTAAAAACTAAATTAGCTTTCGGAATTCTACCGTGTGGTTTGGTATTGATCTAAATTTCAAAATGATACCAGTACCAGGTATTTTTCAAGTTGCCTTAGCAAATTAGCTATAATATTGTCAGCTCAAACACAGCCATAATATTTGTTCTTCTTCATATTGCTTGTATAGATTCTTACTGTACCTATTTATTTATTCAAGTTTTCACCAATGTTGTAATACTTCTAAGTTAGTTCAAAAATAGAATGTTTTGTAATTCTTAAAAGCAAAAGATTTGAAATGTTTTCTCCTATATTGATTATTACAAATACATGAAGATAAATCATATTTAGCAAATTATTATTGTATCTGGCTAACTTGCTCTCTACTGGTTTGCATTATTAATATTGTGATGTAGCCGTTCCTCAATATACACTAATGTCGGCTAGCTTTAAAAGGATTTATTAACAGAGAACACAGGAACGGTTACAAGCAAAATAAATATACATAAAAAGAAAACATATACCAAATGGAACATCAAACATTAGAATAACAGAGACATATTAAACTCTCATCATGGTGGCTGGAGGTCGACTGACGTTTTCCACTACGCCACTAGATGACGTTTCAATGAAATAGTTCGGTTACAGTTCATGAGTTCATGGCGTTGAATAAAATAGTTAATTACACTTAAATAGTTCTGTTACAATATGATCATTATATCAGTTTATGATTACATCATAGCTTTGCTTAATGATACACTGTCTCACAAAAATGTTTGCACACTTTAGGAATTTGCAGAAAAAGCGCTGTAACCCGGAACTGAATTTGAATATAAAACATAATATTTTTTCATATCATCTCCAGATGACTTTGAATAAAACCAATTTTCTTAATTTTTAATACTGACTTATTTTCTTTTTCTAAAATTGAAAATGTAAGGAGGCATAGATAAAACATGCCGCTAAAGTGATCTTACACCAAAACATTTTCTTAAAATTTCATAAATAAAATTATCATCTAACACTTTTTTTTATTTTTGCATTCTGGTGACATTTAAAAAATTGTTTGGATTTATTTTTTGCTTGCTTATTTCGTTATATTTTATTTAATGCTTAAAAATGGCTTGTAGTCTTAAGAAAAACCGAACAACATTCGGAAATTCATAATTTTTTATCAAAAGTATGGATATTCGATTCGGGATATCACTAAATTAGTAAATTTCTCTAATTCTGTCATGCAGTATGTGATAAAATTCTTTAAAGAAGAAAATCGGATCAAAAAAGAGGTTTTCTGGCAAAGAGGACTCGACGTAACTCAGCTTGATCAGAGATGTATAGTTAGAAAATCTGTAAAAGATCCATTTTTAAGTGTTTTAAAGATTTCTGTAGAATTTGCTAAAACATTTTCTCTTTCAGTTTCACTTGAAACTGAGTACTCAGATCAGCTAGATTACAAGGGAGCTCTGCTCCAAGAAAATTTTTTAGAAGTGTAAAAAATAGAAAGCTTAGGCTTTTCTTTTCAAAATCAACGGTAAATAAGCCCGAAGCATATTAGAATCATGTCTTAGTTACAGATGAAAGCAAATTTAACATTTTTGATTCCGATGAGCATATAATTGTATGGAGGGAAAAAATGAGCTTAATCCCAAGACTTTGGTTGGTACAGTAAAGCATGGCGGTGGAGATTTTCTTGTGTGAGGGTGCATGCCAGCATAAGAATTAAATGATTTAGTATTTATTGATGGTACAATGAGCTATGCTGTTTATTTAAATATATTAAAAGATAATTTAAAATTATTTGCCCAAAATTTGGATACTGAAAACAACTTCCTTTTTTTTTTTATCAAGATAATGATTCTAAGCACATGGCCATCAACGTTCGCTTTTTGGGTATCTTATAATTGTCCACAAGTTCTGTAAACACCACCTACCAGATTTAAACCTAACAGAACAGATCTGGAGAGAATTAGAGGTCAGAGTGCGAAGATGCAACATTAAAACAAAAACCCAGTTAAATACAGCAATGAATGGAGGAACATTGATGGACATATTACGAAAAAAAAAAAAAAAAAAAACTAGTTAACTCTATACCCAGACATTTGTGAGGTGTCATAAATAGTGCAGTATATACTACAAAATATTGCAATATTTACTAATTTGTGCAGATTTCCTTAAAGTGTACGAAGACTTTTGTGAGGTAACTTTTGTGTTACTTTTTTATTATCGATTTTCAAAAAAAAAAAGTTTTAACGTGTTTCTAAAATAATTAATGCAGTTTTGCTAAGAGAATTTCATAGATGTTATTATAAAATTTTCATTCTAAAATATTAATTTTTATTAATGAATAAAACAATATTTCACTGAAACTTGTTAGTGTATGAACACTTTTGTGAGCCACTGTAAATCAAAAAATGTATTTGATTATTATAAAACCTTTGGCTCAGATAAACTTTTATGAAGCATGACTTAATCTTACTGGTACTGTTCTGTTATCAGGACCAGGTCCAGAAATATATGTATGCATGAGTATGTGCATGTATATATGTGAATACATATATGCACATACATACATATACATGTGCATACATACATACACTTCTGAATATGGTCCTGATAATGGACGACTACCATCTTACTTACTGAGCTTTTGAATTCTTTATTGTGAGATATATTTGTATTTTATTATTCTACTGTAATTTAGGCGCTTAATAATACTGAGATGCATCTTTATAAAAATGACTCAAAGTATTTGTTTAAATATTTTATACTGATTCAAAAATATGTATCTTTTCGCAGATAAAAAATGAAGTTCAGTCTAAAACAGGTCTTCTGTTTGAAGAGTTTGTCCCTCTAAAGTATCGAAGTCAGTTGGTAAATGGGACAAATTATTTTATTAAGGTACATAATTTTTGTTTCAATCACCCATATTTTTTCCTACCTTTTTACACCAAAATTTTGTGCCAAATAGTTTTGCCTAAACTGTTATTTTTTTGGGAGGGCTAATAATTTTTTGTGTTTATGTATTTGTAAAATTCTTTTTCATCATGCTCTGCATATATTTAGTCATACAACCTTTAAATCTCAAAAGTATTTGGCATTTATAAAAAATTAAGCAAGCCTCATGTTTAGACATGTATATGCTGTATTATGAGTCTTTAAATATGTGAAGTATCTTTGAATAGCTGAATATGTTTTGTGATATAAAATGTATTAATAAATTATTGTAATACATTGGAATTTTTAAATTTGTGATGTTTACATTCAAGTTGTTCAATGAAATATCTTAATGTTGTCTTTAAATAACCATAATAATTTCTGCATGCCATCTTACCAGATTTAATTTGATGATCTATAATCCAAAATCGCCGAAGTCCCGACGAGTCCGGATTACTGACTTTGTACAGTATATATACACTTACCTAGTTTTAGAAATTTTTTTTTTTATAAAATAAATAATGAAAAGTGTAGAAAATGTTGAGGCTAATCTTTGGAATATGGTAACAGGTAGTTTGGCGACATTTTGGTAAGGCAATAAAGGTTACTAGCTAGGACTTCAGCAGTGTACATGGATAAAGTCAAGTGTGTATGCAATGCCATTTTTGTGCAATTCTGGGATGTTTTTTTAAGTAAAAATAGGTCGACGTACACTTGATACTGTGAATGTGCAATTCTTAAAAACGCGGCAAGCAGTGGGCAATTCTGCATTTTCTCCCAATTTCGCACCTAATCTTCATCATGATTAAGCACTTTTGTTCCATAAAAGTTCTAGCATAAGCGTAACAACAGATGTTGGAAAAAAATTTTGAGTAAAAAAAAAAATGATAATAAAATAAAATAAAATAAAAACATGCCTTTATTTCGTGAAAACAAAATGGCGTCCAAAAAAAACTAGCAGGTTGCTAAAGCAAGGTTGGTTGCCAAATTTTCGCCAAAAATTCGCCAAGTTACCATAATTCAAAGATTAACCAATGTTGATAAATACGAGAATTTGAATAAAAGAAGTTTTTTGTACTCATAAAATCAAAACTAAATGCATAACAGCTAAATAAAAGGCTGACTGCTTTCTGCAATATACTTTTGAACCCCTGCAATATACTTTTTATATTCAATAAGGACAACTGTTTTAAATCTTAATACATAATGTTTATATATTTTGTAATCTCTTCTTCAGTTAATATAAAAAAGTGTTGCAGTGATTTTGAAGTCTTTCTTTTATTATCATCATTGTTATTCTAATTACTTTCTCGGCTTTTCTTGCTTTTAAAAAGGTGAAATCACCCATAACTTTTGTGCTGTTTGGAGAATAGCTATGTCTTATAGTTTGTCTTGATTTTTTCCCCTTCATATAAACAAGCAATTCATTAGTGACTATAGTGCAAAATCTGTTTCTTATAAACATAAGTAAATAACATAACTATATTTATTATTCTATTTAATCCATCAGTCTGCTTGAAGCACCAGTAACTCACTCACATGCTCTGGAATACTCTCTATAAGGGTTTTTACTTGAATGAAGAAGCATTTCTTGTTGCCACCTAAAATCCATTGCCATGGCGATACTTTCTCTGCATTCTTCTTTTGACATTTTACAAAGACGGACTCATCAGACTTTTGTTTTATCAGATTCTCCTATTGTATTGGTTGAACATCTTACTAGAAATTCATAGACATTGGATGAATTGTTTGCTTGTAATTATTTGTTTCTAGCCAAGGTACTAGTTTCCATTTCTGTATTTTTTGCTGCTGGCTAACATATATGTATCGTTTACAGTTTGGAAGATTTAGTAGTAAATTTACATATAATGAAATACCATCTTGCAATACAGAATAATTAGAAGTAATTTCAATCCTAATAAAATAACCACAACAAAACTCTGCCCACTGCTTGCTTTATGTTATGATGCTTTTTTTGGCTTTGGCTTCCCAAAACAGAACACTGAATGGTGTATAAAATATTCTGTCATATGGAAGGCTGAAATATCTTGCTACAAACATTACTTAACTTATACAACATCTTTTGCATATAGGAATGAATTTTTTTACTATTTTTATTCTGTTTTTAACAACAGCTTTTCTTTTGTTTCTTGGTGGTATATCTAGGCTACTGCTGCTGCTGCTAATTTGCTCAAATTCAAGGTTTGCTTCTAATTCATTTTCCTGCAGTATGGCAGGAAAAACATATTTTATCATAATTCAGAAAAATGACAATTTAATAAAATGAATTTTATAAAACCTGTAATCGAAAATAATTTCAAATCTTTCTTCAGCTTATAAAGTTCCTGATATGGATCCTAGCAATTACACAATTCCCTTCCAAATTTTAAACTTTTTCCCATGTGTGGATCATTTTTGACAGACAAATTTTCAATTCTATAGAATTCTGAATTTTTTTGCATTTTAATATTTACAACTATGATGTGCCATGCGAATACACTTTTTTCCCTATCTGCTTTTTGTTTTTAGCTTCTGTCTTACTTAAGCATCTTTGAGAAATGTCTGTTCTTTTAATAGTACCAACTTGATGGTTGTAATACTGCATGCATATATATATATATAATTTTTACGTTTGCTGTATCCAACCATGTCAAAGCGAAATTCAAGGCCATGTAAATGATAAGTTCTGCTCTTCTTCAGCTATGCTTAACTTAAATCATGCAAATCAAATGCCATGTAATTCAAGGGTTACCTGTTGCATTCTATGTATTACTTATGAATGCTTCTGAAAGATAAATAAAATATGCAAAACTACGATAAAATTTGAAGGGGAAAAACTAGAAGAAGAGGAGTTTCATCTTTGAATTTATAAATCATCATGAAAAATAAGGCAAATTGTAGATAAAACATTTAATTCTAAATATAACTGACACATGTTGAAAGAGTAGATCTTTGAAAAATGGAACATATGCACTCAAAAAAATTATAAGTTATGAAAAAATCTATGTGTCTATTATCTAGATTAAAATATATATAATCTCAGACTCCTTTGAAATATCTTATAAAATTGCATGATTTTATGGCTTGATTTCACTTCCATGTTTAGCAGTTGTTTAGTTTATTACATTATATGGTTTAATAGTATGTTTGATTGTTTAATAATAAATAATTCATATTTCCCTCACTTGTTTTTATTTTGCTTTTGTAAGGTGAAATATGGACCCAACCAACATATGCATTTGCGTGTCCACAGGAGTTTCCAGGGTGCTGTAACTCTTGCTGCATTCCAATTGGATAAAACATTGGAGGATGAATTGGAGTACTTCCAATAAAAACTTAAATGGGATTTTTTTTCAAGCTGGGTTTATTTCAAAGTAAATTAAAAAAAAAAACTATTATGCAGAAGTATCTTAAATAGTTATGGTTACTCAGAAAGTGTATCAAAAGGAAAATGCAATTATTTTTTTATGTAATTTATTTGTGCTATTTATACTAAAAAATTTAACTTTCTTAGATGGATTTCTTTTTAATTGAAATGTATGTTATCATTTGTATTCAACATATGTTTTACTATAAAACACATTTTGTTTCATGATAAAAGTAAAACTTTATGCTATATATATGTATTATTATTATATACTATATATATATATGTATGTATGTATGTGTATAGTAAATAATAATTATTAGTCAAGATTTTTTAAGGCCCTCGTAAATTAATAGGGCATTTTGGCAGTTAAGAATTCAGTGTATTTTTTGAATGAGAAAAATAAATATTTTTATAGAAGCATGTGTGAGCAATATTTCAAATATATACTGAAGTACTTTAAATCTGAAATAAGCAGCATAGGCTAATTTCAGTAAATGGCAAATCCAAAAATGTATCAAAATAATTTTACTGCTTATCAATATTGGTCAAAGTGCATAAGGATTATCTGCTTGAGATGAAATGTCTTCATGGTGGACTTTTTCAGACAAATTATAGGGTTGTGAAAGATATAGTCATGTGCAATAAATGTACTGTCTTCAGTCATATATATATACAGTAAATTGTTATAATGAAAATATAAATAAAAAATAATGATTTACTTACAGCAGGGCTTCTTAAAATTTTCCCTTTTTATCACTGAGATTTTTTTTGCTGCCCCAGGAGCCCCATAATATTTACGAAAAATTTCTTGGGACCCCATAAGCATTGAGCAAATTCGACACAAACGTGAGTGAAACAGTCAAGTTTTTTATTTGTACTGTAATATAGTATTACAGTTTTAGGTCATTAATTTGTAATTTTAAGACATAGAACCGTGAAAATTTTTAATAAGTTACAGACGAAACGATAACATGACATGTAAAGCAAGTAAAATGAATATTTATACTATTATAAAAAGAATGTGTCGAAACGTTTTCGTTTTTTCTCCTCTGCCTGTATTGTCTTATCTCTGTCTATTTTTCAGATACATTGTGTAAAAATACTTGGTAATTGTAAAATTATTATAAGTTTAAAAAATATCAAAACTGCTAAAATTTTTCGTGATCCCCTGCTGCAGGTCTCGTTACCCCACGGGTGTCACGACCCACAGTTTAACAAACTCTGATGTACAGTAATAATACTATCTTCAGTAATAATTTAAGTTGATGTTGACATATAGATGAACATGAAGCTGAATGGTTTGGTGCATTTTTGTTCTACTGATACACAATCATTGACATGTAACTAATTTTAATTTATTTAAGTATAATTTACGTTTCATATATTTTAGCAAATGTTTCATATATTCATAGCATAACAATTCGAAATAAAGAGAAGTGACAGACTGCATTTTAACAGATCAATGGCCATTGTTAAAATAGCTTAATTGTGTTTCTGATATTAGATTAAGAATAGTGAAATTACTATATTTCTCAGCAGAGGAACATAGTTTTAAATGTACAACAATAATAAACAATAGTATTGGTTATTACTAAATTGTTATTTATTTATGATTGCATAAAAACTTAAGCTTCACTAATGTGTTACTAGTATTGTATGACAATCACATGATGGGTTAATTTTAAAATGAAGTATTTCAAAATAATTCTTTACAAATATTGTATAATTTTGAAAAAAACAAACAACCAAATTAAAAAGAAGATTTTAGACAGTTGTAAATACATATGCATACACACTTTTAAAATATATTGTATTTACTTGTTCCAGTGGTGAATCCGGGAAGTCTGTGGGAGTCTGAGGTCATAATTTTGCATATTTGTGACGTTCCCAAATTTTATTAGAGTGAATGAAGGTGTTTCTTTTAATCTGGTATCTTAAATTCATATATCAGGTGCTTAGCCTAACTGAAAAAATATCAATGTCCTATATTAAAGACCTGACAATGAAGATATAAATATAGAAAATAGTGTCGAATTTTATTTATTATTAAATGTTGCAACAAAATACATTGACATTTAACATTAACCTGACAAGTTAGAAAATGACTGCAAATTATAATACAGTCAAAAGTCGTTAATCCGGACTCATTGGGACTTCGGCGATTCCGGATTATAGATCATCAGTTTAAATCTCGTAAGATGGCATGCAAAATACTAAATTAAAAATATGAACCGTAATTTATGAATAAAGAACAATTATAATCTAAAGGGTATCAAAATTTACAAAAAAAAACTTAATATTTTATTTGTTTACTTTATTAAACATTTCTTTCAATGTAAGTTGTTTAAGTTGCTTCGTTTTGTGTGATAATACTTTCTCTTTAATTCTATAAACAGATATGATTTCTTGTTCAGTTACAAAGTTCCGCTGTTCAAGTCCCTTTAATTGCTGTGCTGAGAATACCGACTAACTTGTCAATCAAAATTTTTTTTGTTTTCACTAACCTCTCTGTCACATTCTTCATGTCTTTATCCATTTTTTGCAACAATTCCACTTTTTGTTTGATGGACATCGAAACATACTTTCGTTTTGTACGATTCTTTGGGGAGCTCCAGAATCGGAAATTCTATTTGACATAATCAAAAGTTCAAGTTTACTTTTATACAATTACTCTTACAGTCTGCAAAAAAATAATAAGCCGGATCCAATTCGAAGATTAAGGAACAACGCAATCATAAACATTAACTGAAATAGATAATTAGAAAATTTTAGCTTATACCGTCCGTTATACATTAAACGCGCACGCAAAAACGTATTCTGCGCTTGCGCAGACGCATATGCGCATTCGTAAAGGTCTTGCGCACACGCATAAACGCCTATGCGCATGCATGTGTGAATAACTATTTTTTGAAATTGGCATGATAGTCCCAAGTTGGTGATGATTTGGGTGACTAATTTTAGTCTGAACTCTATGTAACTATAATTATTTATGCATGTAACTGTATATGCCTTCTAGGAATTTCAAGAAACTGTTGGTACTGGAAATTTCTCAACAACTGATGGTAAACTATGTAAAGACAGAAGACAGCATCAGTTTTCAGATTTTAGTTCAGAGTTGGAATACTGAGAGATCGTTGGACGAGCTTTGGTTTTACATGCTTTGTGTTTAGTTTTCTTATTAGTTTAAAGTGGTAACTATTGATTGTGTTCTATCATACTGAGGAGAGCTGTACGAGTACTTTTGTATTCAGGCTATTACAAACCCGCACATTGTTAACTGTGTTATAATATATGTTAATAAATGCCAGAAGATAAGTCAGTTTTCCTCCGTCGCATTTCTTAGATACATCTTCTCTCTTCTATAGGTACTGTAGCTCCTCTCTGTTGTCACTAGTGTTATTACTATTCTAAATATCTCATGTATGTTGGGAAACCTCTTTTTCACATCCATTTAACATTTCAATTACTGATGATTTGATGTCTGGAAAATTACTCATTTGTCTTTTCCTTAGTAGATTAAATATTCAGCATGTATTTGTTACGGTGGTGATGAAGTCGCCATTATCAATGTCATCCTAAAAAAATTTGGTCAATATGTTGAAATCATTGATATTGCCTGAGCCATATAACCAAACAGGAAAAGGAAGATAGAATATGTTTATGAATTAAAAACCTATTCTGAATTTATGTAATCATGGCATCCAGAAATGGAAGAAAAAAAAGAGACATGATAGTAAGATTTGAGATCAGTAATATAGTTGTCAGATGGTAAAATTTTGGGATTGTTGGACCGATCCACTTATCGTTTATTGGTCCTCAGAATAATGATTAGCATCTCAAGTTTTTCACACCTACCTGTTGCTTTAGAAAAAAAGTGTCTCAAAATGATCATCTACATCTAAATTTTCAAAATCATCTGTGAAATACTTTGTGCAGTTAGTTGTAGAAGTGAGAAGAATGAAAAACACAAAAAGAAATTTTCACAAATTGCTCCTGGTCAAACTAACTAAGGTAAAACATTTGCTCGATAGTTGCAACATCACTTGTTTCGTTCGTAATAAAATCAAAACTGAGAAATATTTTGATTTTATTACTTATTCAATAATTTTTGTTTGTATCAGAGAACTGAAAGTTCACAACGCTTGTATATAGTGCTTTTTTTTTTTTTTTTTTTGTAGTAGATGATCTTCCAGATATCTGTCTCCAGATTGAATGGAAATCTTAAGATAGCCCTGAAATTTTTTTCAATGAGGGTAAGTTATGTAGATCAATTGGTCCTGATCTGATCCACATGCTCACATGAAGCCCAACCTTGTTTTCCACACAATAATATTGTTTTTATTATGGGCTTCAGTTGCTGTCGATTTTCTTTGATTTTATATTGATCCAATGAAACATCCACAGATTTTCGTCTGTTCTTGTGTATTGTCTTAAGTTGGCCTAATGCAAAAACAAGTTTTTGATGATACCCCAAGGTATTATAGGTACTGAATGTGTTCCCATTTTTTAAATCCTCCTTTCACCAAATAGCCTGTAGGCTATATACAGTCAAAAGTCTTTAATCCGGACTCGTCGGGACTTCCGTGATTCCGGATTATAGCTTTTCGGCTGCCCTGTTCCGAGTAACTCAATCTCACTACAGGTCGACTCTACCTTTGGGCACGTCGTGGAGGTTCAACCTCCACTATTACCCTCCAGTAGAGCCGCGCACCACCTGGATATGTCACCAGGCAGCACCGGTCGTCTAATGGTACTGCCAGTCGCTCGGGCGAGCCCGTTGCAGCGGGACATTACCCAGCGACCCTGGGGGAAAACCCCCGGGTTACTAGCACTACGCTGCGCTAGGACGTGCCAGACTCCGAGGCCGGCCAATAAGTGACCTTTCCCGGAGACTTCAGAACCACCAAGTTCATAAATTTTATAACCCCGTGGCCGAGACTGCCTAGTTACAGATCCTAGCCAGTAGCTTCGCAGAATGCTCTACGTCGACCCCCGGGGGGGGATTCCGGATTATAGATCATCAGTTTAAATCTGGTAAGATGGCATGCAGAAATTATAAAATTAAAAATATGAAACCGTAATTCATAAAATAATGAGCAATTATGATCTAAAGAGTATCATAATTTACAAAAAAAAAAAAAAAAAAAAAAAAAAAAAAACTTAATATTTATTGTTTGCTTATTTAAAATTCTTTCATGCGCACATGCGTAAAGCATACATTACGCACAGCCGAAATTAGAAAATTGGAACCAGAAAACTATTTGATTTGTATTCGTGATATTTTAATGACGAGGAATTTGATTTAAATCATATCAAAAGACGGAGTACCTCGAGATAAATACTAGATTTTAGTAAGGAATTATAAGCCGAATAAAATAAAAACATCTGCCCTGAAGATAAGGATAGTGCTGACAGATCAA